CGAAAATCATCCTCCAATAGGTTCCATCAAAACCCTAGATTAGAAGTTTAACTACTCATACTCATAGTAACAATATCCCAAGTATTTTGCATAAATAAATTACAAAGTAAAGATGAAGGAATGTAGAAATCAATGATTCTATCCCCCAACGGGTGTTCCACTAGCTATTCTTGCCTCCGGTCGTAAAAACTCCTTCAAAAGTGGTGTTTAGTGTCTATTTATATGTGTAGGAAAAGATCTAAACGATATAGCCCAAGTCTTAGTCAAACAGGGAGACGAAATAAGCCTTCAAAATCCGGATCAGACTCGCCTCAGACCGTGCCTCGCGAGGTAAAACGCGAGATGAATCTCGCCCCAGACCATGCGGCACCTGCCTCCACGCAAGCTCAACCTCGCCTTATCCCTCGCGTCGCCTGCTCCCACGCAAGCTCAAAGGCTCGCCTCGCCAGCTCTAACGCGAGCTCAATAGCTCGCTTCGCCAGCTTTCTCATTTTTTTCGCTGTTCACTTCTTTCTTTCTTCTTTTCAACTGTTTTCGAGCACGCTTTAGACTTTAAATATTCCTTTTGCTCTACTTTCATCTCTCGTGTACCTACACATAAAATAAACTCCATTACGCGCAAATAAAGTGTAATTTAACATTAAAGCACATAAAATATAAGGTAAATAATATACTGAAATATGAAATTATAGCCACACATCAATTTCCTAACCAAGGATTGTCGGCTAAGAACAGCAAAGAGGTGAGCTTCAAGGCTGTGGAATTAACAAAATCTTTGTAAAATTTGAATAGTGGATATTACGGGGAAAAAATAATGAGGCTACATATATGGCTGCGTACATGCTTTCTTTTCTTGCTTTCTAACCATTTGGGTATTTTCGATGTCATATAGAGCGGCTATTGGTTCTTTTTAAGACACGATGAAGCAAATAATAGGTACAATTCTTGAACTCTCTCTTTGCAGTTTTGTTTTTAAATAGTGTTTATATATAACCCCAGATGTATGTTGTTATGAGTATTTTATTTCCCGTCTAGATTAATTATTAGGCTGATTATTTTGTAAATTCTCTAATATATCTTTTACGCTCAAAAAAGTTCACCAATGTATGTTACATTTTGGGGAAGAGTGAGGAATAATACTGTGAGCCACTATTAATCGTTAGAACTTAGTGATCTCTTCAAAAATATTATTTTTGAAATCAGTTTAAAATATCCTCTCGCACTGTTTGAACATGCTTGATTCAATTCTAATAGTAATATAATCATATTAATTGAAATTTTTGCTAATCCATTTTCAAAAAATAAATGAGAAATATTCAAAAAGAAAAAATAGTTTAGAATATGACTTTTTGGGAACTTCGCAATAACTAATACAGAGTTGTTATCTTTACTGTTTTACTGAAATTGTTTGGTTTTTGTTTACAGAGTTTAGACTCTATCCAAAAGTTTTTTATGTAGTAACGTCTGTAAACTTCGTGTGTGTTTGTGTATATGCTCCAAAAAGAAAAATCAACTATATGTAGTTAAACATGCCCTTGCTGCCTTGCAACGCAAGAGTCAACACCAATATTGACTTCCCTTTACCGCAACATATTTCTCTCATGAAAATTATACGCTGCACTTTTGAAAAGGATATCAATGCCTACACCAAGAGCTGTATGACAGAGCAATCGAAACGCCACATTGGAACATACACTACTAACATCCGTCTATAAAGAATTATTAAGTGAGATATAAATATATCACATAAGCACCTAATATTATCAAAATTGAACCCATTATATATTGACTTTGATGTGGCTATAATTTCATATTTTAGTACATTATTTGCCTTGCATTTTGTATGCTTTAATGATAAACTATACTTTATTTGCACGTAATGGAGTCTATTTTATATGTAGGTGAATTGGAGATAAAAGTAGAACAAAAGAAATAATTAAAGTCTAAAGAGTGCTCGAAAACAATTGAAAAGAAGAAAGAAAGAAGTGAGCAGCGGATAAATGAGAAAGCTGGCGAAGCAAGCTTAATAGCTCGCGTGGGAGCTGGCTGGGCGAGCATTTTAGCTCGCGTGGGAGCAGGCTAGGCGAGGCAGGAAGCGAGGTCCACCTCGCGTTAAGGGTGGCGACGACAGGTCTGGGGCGAGCTCCTGCTCGCGTGAAGCCTCGTGAGGCGAGGTCTGAGGCGCACACACTCCGAACTTTGAAGGCTTATTTCGTCTCCTGGTTTGACTAGGACCTGGCCTATGTCGTTTAGATCTTTTCCTACACATATAAATAGACATAAAACGCCACTTTTGAAGGAGTTTTGCAACCGGAGGCAAGGATAGCTCGTGAAACAACCGTTGGGAATTAGAATCATTGATTTCTACATCCTTTCATCTTTACTTTATAATTTAATTATGCAAAATATCTGGGATATTGTTACTATGAGTAGGGATAGCTAAACTCCTAATCTAGGATTTTGATGGAACTTATTGGAGGATGATTTTCCTGTTACGTTAACATAGATTTGCCGTAGTATTTTCTCTATTTGTTCAACTATATTATTATTGTTGTTGATTGAAGGGCCCTCAATCGACTGTACCTATTTAGTACGTATTACTCGGAAAAGAGTGCATATTTAGGTAATTGTTGAACAACATCACTCCTAACGTATATGAGGGATCAATACGGAGGGTTTAAAGGTGGGATTAGGGATAACGAAACCTTGGTGCGATCCGAGTGAGTCGTACTTAATGCCAGCTAGCGTAATTCGGGAGAATATGTCTAGTAAATTATGGCAGTTACTCGGGAAAGAATTACAACACTCAGAGCGTTCATGATCGGTAGAGAAGACTTAGGCAAATTTGTAGAAAATGTAGCGGAAAGGATTCCGACAATAGGGGAAATCATAACCTTAGATCATTCCAATTCTTGTCTACAATCCGTTCGTAGTTAGTTATTAATTATTGCATTTTCATTACGTGATATTAAGTTAGTAAACGTCAAATTTGTTACTTAAATATTTCTGAAGATTGATTGCATGAATTTGTGTGAGTCTAGTAGTTGTGTTTAATAGGTTAATTCCCTTTGGGATTCGACTCCGGACTTATTAACCGGAATATATTTGTTAAGACCGCTAAGTCCTTTTTACAAGGCATAGTTGGGAGTAATCAAATTTTGGTGTCGTTGCCGGGGACTTTACGGTGTTATTAATTGCAGCTAAAAGAATTGCTAGAATTCTTAGTGTAGTCAATTTTCTTCATTTTAAACCAAATACATTGAAATTCTAACGTTTGTAGTCTTGGGTGCTAAAGGTACATGCCTAGAAACTCCTCAAGAACTAGTGAATTGTTCGAAGCATTATCAGATCTTGAGAAAGTTTTCAAGGCACTGAATCATGCAAACAAGAAGGGCAAATAGCAACAGAACTCAACAGAACAAATCAAACCAGACATGGATGACAGAGTAGAAAATCCAAACAACAGAAACAATGAGAATTACCCGAACAATCAGGGTGTGGTGCCTCTTGTTCCAGAAGCAGCATTGTATGACTGGGCACAACCCACCGCCGAAAATCTGGCAACCGCAATTGCAGTCCCTCATATACAAGAGGAATCATTTCAAATAACAAACAACATGCTACATTTGTTGCAGAACAAGGGACTGTTCTCACGGTCATACATTGAAGATCCTCAGCAGCATCTGAAGAATTTTCTGTCGATATGTTTCACGCAAAGGCAACCTAATGTGACACCAGAAGCAATAAAGCTGTTATTATTTCCATTCTCAGTGACAGGAGAGCTCAAAATTGGCTTAATTCACTCCCCATAAACTCCATTACTACTTGGGAGGAATTAGTCAAGCAATTTTTGAACAAGTTCTACAAACAAATTGATGAGATATTGAGCTTCAGGCATAGACCAACAGAAACACTACAAGAAACGTGGGAGAGGTTTAAGGGTATGCTGGTTAAGTGTCCACATCATGGAATTCCAGATCAGATGTTAGGGCAGAGGTTTTACATAGGACTAGCAGACGGCTTAAAGGCCAATGTTGATGCTTCAGCAGGTGGAGCATTTTTGAGAAAAACATTCAGAGAATGCAAGATCCTACTTGACAAAATTTCCCAAAACTCAGGATGGATGACAAGAGACTCTACGATCACTCATGTAGTTCATTCAGTGGCTTTAGACCCAAACAAATCCATAGTTGAAAATATGGCCACTCTAATGACGCAAATGAGCATCCTCACCAAAAATATCGATGAATTAGGCCAGAAGCAGCAGGTACACATAGTTGACGCAACTAATGGGGGCTTATGTACACTATGCATTAACCAACCATATGTATGCTCGTGGAGTGCGGAAGGTGACAACCAGCACTATCAGGAAGATATGAACTATGTGGCCAACTAGGGGGGACAGAGGCAAGGTGGTCAGAATTAAGGGCAGCAGAATCAACAATATAGGCCAGCACAGCAGCAGTACAATAACAGCAATAATCCTGGAGCTATGTGACCACAGGGTCAAGTTGTGCCTTAATAAAGGCAACATGGTTACAACCAGCAAAATCAGCAGCTAGCTTATCAACAGCCTCAACAACAACAGATGGTGAGACAAGATGACGAATTTACTGAACTTAAAGGAATGCTGCAACAACTGATTGGGTCCAATGGAAAAATGCAAGAGAGAGTGGACTTACGTGAATCAGCGATAAAGGTCATTGAGATTCAATTAGGACAGATTTCGATGGCTCTAAATAATCGTCCCCAAGGGACGTTACCTGCAGACACACAAGTCAATCCAAAAGAGCAGGGCCTGAAACAGCTTATGGCAGTGAGTCTAAGAAATGGTAGAGACCTAGATCTGGAGCAAGAAATTGCTCACGAAAGCCGACCTACGGAAACAATTGTGCCAGTACCCATTGAGATAGATGATTCAACATAGTTAACTGAGGTGACGGTACAACATGCACAAGAGAGCACAAGCAAAGAAAAAGAGGATGTGAATGAGACTGAGGATGCGAAGAGGATGTGATTTGGGGGAAAGCATAAACTTGATGCCCTTGGCTATCTACAAAAGGTTTGGCATTGGAAGATCAAGACCCACATCCATTCTACTACAGCTAGCCGACCGGACAGTGAAGAGGCCATCAGGTATCCTTGATGATGTATTAGTACAGGTTGGGAAGTTTGAGTTACCAGTATATTTTGTCATTCTGGACTGCCGGGTTGACGAGAAGATTCCCATAATTTTGGGAAGACCATTCTTGGCCACTGGGAGAGCTTTAATTCATTATGAAACTGGAGAGCTAAAAATGAGACTAAATGATGAAGAGATAACATTCAATGTGCATAAATCTATGCGGCGACGAAGTGAATTTGCTAACTACTCTCTAATAGAAGCTGTGGATGTAATTTTGGAGGAGGAAGATGAGATCTTGAATGCTAAAGAACCTCTAGCAACCTGTCTTAGAACTTAGATGAAGCAAATGGAGAGTACTTGGCGGAGTGGGTACTGGCTCTTGAAGGCCAAGGGTTTTGGGAAAGAGAGCTAGAATTTGAGCCTTTGCACTTAGAAGAAAGGAAAACTCCTCCAGCTAGGCCATCGATAAAAGAGCCACCAAAGTTGGAACTGAAGCCACTACCACCTCATCTCAGGTATGCTTTCTTGGGACCTAACTCAACTTTACCTGTTATTATCTCATCTGGTTTGTTAGATGTGTAGAAAGAACAGCTTTTGCAGGTATTGATTGAGTGCAAAACTGTAATTGGTTGGACCATTGCAGACATTAAGGGTATCAGCCCGGCCTTCTGTATACATAAGATTATACAAGAAGATGGCCACAAACCTTCCAGAGAACATCAAAGAAGGCTGAACCCCAACATGAAGGAAGTTGTGAAAAAGGAGGTGATAAAATGGTTAGATGCGGGGATCATATTCTCCATCTCTGATAGCAACTGTATCCCAGTCCAATATGTGCCAAAGAAATGTGGGATGACTGTAGTGCAAAACAATAACAACGAGTTGATTATCAATAAGAACAGCCACGAGATGGCGAATTTGTATGGACTACAGAAGATTGAAAAAGGCCACCCGAAAAGACCACTTTTCCTTGCCGTTCATTGATCAAATGCTAGATAGACTGGCCAGGAGGTTCCACTTTTGCTTTCTGGATGGATACTCGGGGTATAATCAGATCTCTATTGCTCCGGAAGATAGAGAGAAAATGTCATTCACCTGTCCATATGGCGTCTACGCTTTCCAGAGAATGTCGTTCGGCCTATGCAATACACCCACCATATTTCAAAGGTGCATAATGGCCATCTTCACAGATATGGTAGAGGACATAATGGAGGTCTTTATGGATGATTTCTCAGTGGTGGGAGACTCATTCGATGATTGCCTAAAGAATTTGAAAAGAGTACTGAAAATATGTGTGGAGACTAATATGGTGCTCAACTAGGAAAAGTGCCATTTCATGGTGCAGGAAGGTATAGTCTTGGGGCACCTAGTGTCGAGTAAGGGCATTGACGTAGATCGTGCAAAGGCTGATATGATAGTAAAGCTTCCACCACCCACTTCCGTCAAAGAAATAAGAAGTTTCCTTGGCCACGTCGGTTTCTATAGATGGTTTATAAAAGACTTCTCTAAAATTGCTAACCCCTTGTATAAATTGCTTGAAAAAGATCACCCTTTTGTGTTTTATGATGACTGCATGGTAGCTTTTGAGGAATTGAAGAAGAGGCTAGTGACAACACCTATCATAGTTGCACCCGACTGGGGGTAACCATTTGAGCTTATGTGTGATGCGAGCGACTATGATGTGGGAGCAGTTCTTGGGCAGCGAAAAGATAAAGTCATGCATCCAATATACTACGCAAGTAGAACTTTGAGTGGTGCCCAACTAAATTACACAGTGACCGAGAAGGAGATGCTAGCAGTGGTGTTTGCATTTGACAAATTCAAGTCATACCTGATAGGCTCGAAGGTAATTGTTTATACTGACCATGCTGCTCTCGGGGTACCTAATTGAGAAGAAGGAGTCAAAGCCGCACCTGATTTGATGGGTGCTACTGCTGCAACAATTTGACTTGTAAATCCATGACCGAAAGGTAACGGAGAACCAAGTGGCTGATCACTTGTCTAGGCTGGAAGGAGCCGAAAAGAAGGTTGAGGTGGAAGAGATTGTGGAAACTTTCCCGGATGAACAACTCTTAGCGACGAGCCTCGATGCTACACCATGGTATGCAGATATTGCAAATTACATGGCAAGCGGTATTGTTCCTTATGACTTGTCTTCTGTGCAAAAGAAAAAGTTTTTTCGTGATTGTCGCATGTATTTTTGGGATGAACCATATCTGTTTAGGATTTGTCTTGCTAACATGATCCAGAGATGCATTCCCGAGATAGATCAATCTTCTATTTTGCAGGCATGTCATGCTTCACCGTATGGAGGACATTTTGGGGGCGTAAGGACAACGGCTACAGTGTTGGAGTTAGGTTTTTATTGGCCGACGCTGTTTAAAGATGCATACTTCTGGGTGAAAAATTATGATGAGTGCCAATGGACGGGGAATATTTCCCGTCGACATGAGATGCCCATGAACCCGATCCAAGAGGTAGAAGAGTTTGATGTGTGGGGAATCGACTTTATGGGACCATTTGTTAGCTCATACAATAACAAGTACATACTTGTAGCGGTGGACTATGTCTCGAAATAGGTAGAAGCCTTCGCACTTCCTACAAATGATGCGAAGGCAGTTATTGGTTTCCTGAAAAAGAACATCTTCACCCGATTTGGCACTCCAAGAGCTATCATCAGTGATGGGGGGTATTCACTTCTGCAACCGAGCCTTTGAAAAGCTTTTGGAGAAATATGGCGTTCGTCACAAAGTTACCACTCCGTATCACCCACAAACGAGTGGGCAAGCCGAGGTGTCAAACAAAGAAATCAAGAGTGTTTTGACCAAAACTGTAAATGCTACTCTGACTGATTGGGAAAGAAAATTGGATGATGCATTATGGGCTTACTGCACTGCATTCAAAACTCCGATTGGAATGTCACCGTATAAATTGGTATTTGGAAATGCATGTCACTTGCCAGTGGAGTTAGAGCATAAAGCCTTCTGGGCGTTGCGACAATTAAATCTGGACGTGGAGGCCATTGGAACTAGTAGAGTCACAGAGTTGCATGAACTTGACGAGTTTCGATACCATGCTTTTGAGAGTACTAGGTTATACAAGGAAAGAATGAAACTGGTGCACGACAAAAATATTCTTAAGCGAAATTTTAAGCCGGGAGACAGGGTATTATTATTCAATTCGAGATTGAGGTTGTTTCGGGGCAAATTGAAGTCAAGATGGTCAGGACCATTTCGTGTGGTAGAGATTCACCCCACCGGAGCCGTAGAGATTGTTGCAGAAAATGACTCCCGCACGTTCAGAGTCAATGGGCATAGGTTAAAATATTATTTGGGCATGGATGACGCGAAAGTAGTGTCGGTGACTCATTTGCTCGAGCCACCAATGTTGAGCGAGCCTTAAGAGCGATTACCTGCGTCATGCCGTGATGTTAAATCAGGCACTTCATGGGAGGCAACCCATTGTAATGTTGTATTCGTCATGCCGTGACGTTAACTAAGGCGCTCGTTGGGAGGCAACCCAATTCGTAGTTGATTTTTAGTGTAGTTGGAATTTTTCTTTTCGTTTTTAGGAACTAACATGTTTGCAGGTGATTTCGGCAAGTCGTACGCAGTATCTCACGTTGCCTGGTCTCCAGCGAGCTAGGCCAGCGTTAAGCCATGCGACACCAGGTATTGAGCTCATTAAGGAGCTCGCCTCGCATGGGTTATAGCGAGACACATCTCGCGGAATCCCCCACGTCGCCTACCTCTGAGCTCGCCTCGCCAGGTATGTCATTCGCCTGAGAGCTCGCGTCGCCAGGTTAGTTTTTGCTTTTATTTTCTTTTTGTTTTGTTTTCCTTTAACTCTCCCTCTAAAAAACCCAACTTAAAACACCCACGCCTAAAAGAAAACACACTGCATGCCCCAATTTTCCTCTTCTCCTCCCACACAAACCTCACTGCTCACAAAACACACACTTACGCACTCACGCAGAACACTGCCAAACCCTCCCCCTCACAACTCCATTGAAGACAATCAATCTTCTACTATTTCCTTCACTTACAACAGCAATTCAAAGGCAAATCCCTTTCTCTTAAACATCTAAGGTATGGTTTCTATCTCCATTCTTTGGCAATTTTGAGTTGGGTAAATGCATGACATTGGACACAAATTTTTGGGGTTGTTCTTCATTGTAACCATGTGTTTGTGTGTCCCAACCCCATGAACCCCATAGGAATGGTGTTGCTATTGTGTGAACAAGTGGTAGTACGGAACTCCCAAACCGATTTGGAAGGGTGAGGCAATCTGTCACCCCTACAAGCACTCCCATGGAACTAGTGTATGCTAAGTGTTTGTTATAATGCCTCAAAGGCATTATTTGTCCCCATTGGAGCCCGAGTCTTCGGGATTATAAGACTACTGCTATGTAGTTATGCACCACTTTTAAATCTTAAGTGTGGGGTGGCTCACTGGTAGCCCGATGCTTCGAATGTTGAAGAAGCACCCATGTGTCATTGCTTGATTCTCATGCTAAGAAACGATGAGGTGAAGTCTGAGTAACCTCGAAAACTGTTGATAATCATGTGATAAACTCTAAGTGTGGGTGGCAAGACCATGTTTTGAGAGGTTGCAATACCGCTTAAACTGATTTATGCTCACTTGTGTAGGTACAAATATGCCTCCAAGAAAAGACACTGGTAAAGACAAAGCCACATCCACTACTCCCTCTAAGGATTAAGCTACTTCCGCACCTCCCCAGAAGAAGAGAAAAGGGGGGGAAGCTACTTCCAGTCAAGGTGAAGGACTGAGAACAGTTGCAGCTATTGCAGCCACCCGTCCACAACCTCAGGGCCAACGGGAATTTGGAATCAAAAGCATACCCCCACATGTTAAGGATTGATACAAGCGTTGTAGGCCAAAACATATACATCCGGAAGCTGTTATTCATGAGCGTCACTTGAAATCCAAGTACCACGCTATTTGGAGAGGCATCAATGTGTTGGGGTTGAGCTATGTGTTCCGAAACTCTAGAGAGATCAACGTCAATCTTATGAGGGAATTTTATGTTGGGTTTGATCCAGAGGATCCTGAACAGCTGGTGCCGATTCGTGGAAGGTTGATAGATTTTTTAGCCTCGGCAATATGCAATTTCTTAGGTGCTCCGGATGTTCCTGGGGAACCCTTAGACCACTTCATAGTCCTTCCTACTTATCGAGAGCTGAGACACACTCTTTGTGGTGTTAACTCTGTGGAGGCTTGGGTGCGGGATAAGAAAACCAACCGCCATAGGAAGTTCCAAAAGAAGAATATGAAGGCAGAAGCGCAAGTATGGTTGAAGTTGATCAATTCACGGCTCCTACCGTGCAGCCATGACACTCTCATTAGCCGTGAGAGGACTTGTGTGTTGTATTTCTTAATGGCGGGCCAAAGGGTGAATGTGGGCCACTTGATCCGTTATCAGATGACCCAAGTGCGAACTAGCAAGAAAATTGACCGAATGCCCTTTGTAAACATGCTAACTCAGTACTTGCGGCAAAAAGAAGTGGAGGAGGAGAAGGAGTTCGATCACATCATTGCTCCACCCTTAAGACCAACGGGCCTCACAAATGTCCGGGTTAAGGAGGAGAACACCACAACTTCACTGACAGGGGCTGAGCGCAATGCACGCGATGAAAGTTTCATGGCCTATTTATATGGGATGATGGACTTGCAGCTTCGGATAGGGGGACGGCCTGCCACTACAGAGGAGAGGGCCATATTGGAGCAGCGGTACTCGCTCAATGCTCATGCCCAACAGCTGGTTGGGATAGGTGATGGATACAGACTCCCTGAGGACAAGGATGTTAACATACCTGAGCAGTCCGAGGCCGAGCCGGAGTAGTCAGATGTTGAGGATGATGACGAGGAGGAGGAGGAAGCACAAAACGAGGAGTGGGTAGCCTCAGAGGATGAGGGCAAGGACGCAGCTTGCAGGGAGTTTTTCCTACACCCTACTCATTTGTTTTCTTGTTTTATCAATTGTGTATGCACTGAGGACATTGCATGAAATAAGTATGGGGTGGGGACTTGTAAAAAAAATTAGTCTTGTTTTAGATATTTTTTTTAGTTAGTGTCGTCTTAGCCTTTTAAAGAAAAAAAATTTAGTGTTATATTAGCTTTTAAAAAAAAAGTAGAAAAAAATTAAACTCTTCCCAACGATGGATCTCCTAGACAGTTTGCTTGAGGGAATTAAGTCTAAAGAAAAAAAAACCAAAAATATTTTCTTGTAGGTAGTGTAGTAATTCCCCTTTGGTTTTTATTTGGGCCGCGGTTCTTTCCAAGGATTTTATTTGAACCGGGTGTAGTTATTTTTAATTTTTAGGAGTAGAAATCACTGGGCTATGAATTGAATTGCAGCGATATCTCTTAACTTTGTTATGCCTTGAGAATAGTTAGTACTCTGGTTGTGACGCTTAAACTCAGTTTTTGACTCTAGTATAAGTACCTTAAATCATAGATTCTTAAATTTGGTTGACTGCTTTGACTGGAGTGTCGTGATAAAACCAATCCTGAGTGAGTTATGTGCCATGTCTGTGTGAGGTTTTGTATGTATTCAGTGCATTGCATTTGATGTCTAGAACTTGCCCTGTATGTGTACAAAGCGAAATGGTAGTCTTGTTCAGTCTGGGAAGTGATATAGGCGTTTCTTTGTTGAGCCAGATATATAGAGTTTACCCGCCTGAATGTCATATAACGTAGTTAACCCATTTGAGCCTATAATCATATTTTTTTGGTAACCACATTACAAGTTGCACCCCTTTGTTTGAATCGACCATATATTTGAATCTTGTCACCTGTTATGAGCACTTGAATTGCGATAAATTATATTAAAATTAACATGTGGGGTGGTGGTTTGGCTTTTGAGTGGAACAAATAAAATAAGGAGAAAGGTGCACCGTTTGAAAGAAAGAAACAAAATGTCAATAAAAGCCACTTGGATTGAAAGAAAAAAAGAAGAAGAAGAAGAAGAAAAAAAATAGTTGTATTGTATGAAAAATAATTCTTGATGGTGGTGGCTAGTGATATACTTGTGCTTAAAGAAGTATGGGGTAATATAAATTGAAGTGAAGGTGGAATTCTGGTTTAACATAAGTATGGGTTGTAGTATTAAAATATATGTATTAAAGTGTTTAAGGAAGGTGTAGTCACTCATATCTAAATGTATCCTACCCGACCCGTAGCCTACAGTACAACCAATTAAAGTCCTACTTGATCCTAGACTGAATGAGCTCGATTAGTAGAGTATTACACTACGGGTAAGCCTATGGTGCATCATTTGTGGCATATGAATGTTATTTCTGAGAGTGAGTGAATTTTTCCTATATTGAGTTCCTACGTTCTTAAAATTCATTGCGTGTGGAACTAAGCTCTTTGTTGGGTGAGGGCATGTGATTCATAAAGGAAAGGAAATGTCATTGATCTCAATGTTAGAGTAAGTAAGTGAATTGTGAATAAGGCATGGTATTTATGAGTCAAATCTTGAGGTGAGGATGTTACACCTTTGTGCTTAGACTATTTTAAAGATTCTTGGTGTGATGAGTTAAGGGAATTGCTTAAAAAGGTTGTGACTATAAGTGTAGTTTGATTGCTCGAGGACGAGCAATGTTTAAGTGTGGGGTATTGATGTGTGGCTATAATTCTATAGTTTAGTACATTATTTGCCTTGCATTTTGTATGCTTTAATGATAAACTACACTTTATTTGTGCGTAATGGAGTCTATTTTATGTGTAGGTGAATTGGAGATGAAAGTAGATCAAAAGAAATAATTAAAGTCTAAAGCGTGCTCGAAAACAGTTGAAAAGAAGAAAGAAAGAAAGAAAGAAAGAAAGAAGTAAGCAGCAGATAAATGAGAAAGTTGGCGAAGCAAGCTTAATAGCTCGTGTGGGAGATGGATAGGCGAGCCTTTTAGCTCGCGTGGGAGCAGGCTAGGCAAGGCAGGAGGCGAGGTCCACCTCGCGTTAAGGCTGGCGACGCCAGGTCTGGGGCGAGGTCCTGCTCGCGTGAAGCCTCGCGAGGCGAGGTCTGAGGCGCGCACACTCCGAACTTTGAAGGCTTATTTCGTCTCCTGGTTTGACTAGGACTATGTCATTTAGGTCTTTTTCTACACATATAAATAAACATAAAACACCACTTTTGAAGGAGTTTTGCAACCGGAGGCAAGGATAGCTCGTGAAACAACCGTAGGGAGTTAGAATCATTGATTTCTACATCCTTTCATCTTTACTTTGTAATTTAATTATGCAAAACATCTGGGATATTGTTACTATGAGTATGAGTAGCTAAACTCCTAATCCAGGATTTTGATGGAACCTATTGGAGGATGATTTTTCTGTTACATTACATAGATTTGCCTAGTATTTTCTCTATTTGTTCAACTATATTATTATTGTTGTTGATTGAAGGGCCATCAATCGGTTGTGCCTATTTAGTGTGTATTACTAGGAAGAAAGTGCATATTTAGGTAATTGTTGAACAACAACACTCCTAACGTATATGAGGGATCAATACAGAGGGTTTAAAGGTGGGATTAGGGATAATGAAATCTTGGTACGATCCGAGTGAGCCATACTTAATGACAGCTAGCATAATTCGGGAGAATATGTCTAGTAAATTGTGGTAGTTACTCGGGAGAGAATTACAACACTCAGAGCGTTCATGATCGGTAGAGAAGACTTAGGCAAATTTATAGAAAACGTAGCGGAAATAATTCCGACAATAGGGGAAATCATAACCTTAGATCATTCCAATTCTTGTCTACAACCCGTTCGTAGTTAGTAATTAATTATTGCATTTTTATTACGTGATATTTAGTTAGTAAACATAAAATTTGTTACTTAAATATTTCTGAAGATTGATTGCGTGAATTTGTGCGAGTCTAGTAGCTGTGTTTAATAGGTTAATTCCCTGTGGGATTCGACTTCGGACTTATTAATCGAAATATATTTGCAACGACCGTTAAGTCCTTTTTACAAGGCATAATTGGGCATGATCGTACTTACCTAACTAAATTATTCAATTTTGTAGGTTCAAACTCTATCTAATCATTTGTCAATCGATAATTAATTCATTTGAATAAGTTGATCGTCCATCAATTTCAATCGATACTTTCCCCCTTCAAATTTACTATTACTCAATGCACTCCTGTTTTAATCTGATCTATAGAGTTTGTACTGGTTAATATGGGATACATGTGTCCAGAGATTAGTAGAACGAATCGATGGACTCCTTTTGCTAGTACATCGAATACACCAAACAGTAATCTCTCGGTCTTTATTTTTTTTATACAATGGTGTTAGAATCTGATGGAATTTAGTCCATGTCTTACATCGGTCCTTTTATTTATACTTTATCTGGGCCTGAAAGGGGCCAATTTTTTTTCTTAAAAATATGAGTATGACCCTTGGATTTAATAGTCTTGTACGAGTAATTATGACATATATTGTCACATCGAATGATTGTAGACATTTTTATTGTATTCATATTCCTATTTTAGACATGGTCGGACGGGGACAAGCTCAAACTACTTCTAGTGGGAGTTATCAAAATCAAGAAAGGGGACAACGTAGAATAATACATACTTTAATAATTCGATTCTGAGCCTAAAAGTCACCATGAAAGTCTCAAAGGCGATGCAAAATGAATTAAGGGATTGAATGGCTAAGCGAAGGAAAAGAGAAAAGAAATTTAAACAGTTTAGGAAATTCAAAATAGCCCCTAATGTTTCAATACCTGATCATATTTACTTTTATGAAAAAAATGAGACGAATTGTCTAATTATATAGCGGCTTCGGATTGGGAGGCTTTAGCTATTTTAATTGACTCTCTCGAAGAGTCTTGTGTGATGTTTTAACCAGTATTATTTATCTTGAGGTTTGGACAAGTGAACTCTTTTGGGTATATGTTAAGATACTTGAAACCAAATGGGAGGAATATGTCCCACCAAACATATAACTTGTTATTATGTATGTTCCTATTTTATAAAGGTTAAAATTATGTTGTTTGTCTCTTCGATTTCACGTCCTGCTTATTATTATTTTGTGTGTATTGAGTTGAAACTTTATGAATTTGTGAAATTAATATTTATTTACATAACTTTAGGAACATTAAAAATAATTTTAATATTGGTTAAACATTTAGATACATATGATGAGTGAATACATAGTGACCTTTCGATTCTATGCTAAATGTAAAATCAATATTCTAATCAATTTACTTAAGTGTGTAAATTACATGCATAAAATGATTGTAACATATATGTATGAGCAAAACTTGCATAATTGTCTCTTAATTATAACAAACATGGCATAAAAAGTATCTTTGCTAAATTAAATAAGGGTGACAAACTAAATGGTAAAAATTACGACATGTGTAGTCATAAGATGTGGTATGTGCTGGAAGAGCAAGATGCCTATAATTTATTTAACCATATTATGAGTCATCCAGACGAGGGTAACACTACCTAACATGGGAGATCAAGAGACTTATAATGTTTGGAAAAAAGGATTCCATTGCTTGTGATATTATTGTAAGTTCAGTTGTTGATGATTTTATTCATAAATATGAACAATATCCTACTGCTCAAGTTATGTGATCATATTTAAGATAGGCATATGACGGTACAATTGTGACTTGCCTTAGACAACTAAAAATCAAGTTTGACACATACAAGAAGAGTTATGATCACATTGTTAAGCAACACCTAAAGGTGATGTCAAACATGATTACTCAACTCAAAAGTGCTAGTCATGTTCTCTCTGATGAGCAGCAGGTTCAGGCAGTGATTCGGTCTCTTCCCAATAATTCAGAATATCTGAAGTTTAACTTGTCCAATAATGAAAGCATCAAAACTTTTGTTGATGTTACCCGTTATGTGGAGCTTGATTACGAGCAACTTGGTGTTGCTAAAGCTATACCTAGTGCCTATTTGGCAGAATCAAGTGGTATATAAAATTCAGGCTTCAAGCGCAAGAGAAATTAAAAAAATAACGGGAAGAGTAAGGATACCATAGAAGGACCCTCAAAGAAAAGGCCTAATTCAAGAAGGGACTCCAAGAGAATGATAAGAGCAAGATGAAGTGCTGCAATTGTCAAGTTCTAGGGCATTTTGCTCGTGACTGCACTGAGTCGAAAAAAGATAATATTTTAAAATTTATTTCTAAGTGCTACATATGTTTCTAACATTGTTTTATTAACTGAATCTTATCATGTATACATTATAGACTCAGGGGCCACCGACCATGTGAGTCATGATCAAGAAGTATTTGTAGAGTCTCGTCAGAGTCTCACCTAGATCAAAGTTAGTATATATGGGTAATAATGCAAAGCATAAAGTCAATGAGAGAGAAAGACTTGCGTGGTTGCCGGTCTTTGATATTGCATCATGTCCTATATGTTTCGAAGATTCGACAAACTTAGTCTTTGTGTCTGTTCTTCTAGATTTAGGTTTCAATTTTAATTTCAGCCGCAATAGTGTTAAAATTACTCTAGACAATATTTTTTATGATTTTGAATTTCGTTATGATAGTTTAATTGTGTTAGATTATAATTCTTCTACACATAACTATTATGTTGACCGTTATGTTATGGCATATTATTCTGGTAATAATGATGTTGTGTTATTATATGGCATGCAAGATTAAGATATATAGGGCAAAGATCGAATGAATAAGTTGGCTAAGGAAGAATATACAGGTTCTTTGTCTAAAATTAAAATGCCAATATGTGAATATTATATTATCGGAAAGATTATACATAATTTTGGAAAGACTAAGAAATTTTTTGTTGTAATTAATTTACTACGATATCTATGGTTCAATGAATATGAGGGCTAGGTCTAGTGCTTTGTTTTAAGTTTATTGACAATTTTTTACGCACTTCAGTTATGTCTATTTGATTTCTCATAAATGTGAAGCACATGAATGCTTTAAGAGATTGTCACGACCCGAAATCTCAACCACGGGACCGTGATAACGCCTAAGGTCCACTTACTAGGTAAGCCAACATTAGCTACACAAGTATTTACAATAACAATTTTAAAAGCATATTAATGAGAAGATAAAGTTGTAGAACTTTAAAATACATAATAAATTCCATACACGCTGCCTAGTCTAAACCTAGAATTTGGTGATACAAGTACATGAGCTGCTAAAAGTGCTACAAATAAGATCCGAAATAAAATACAACTGTCTTAATGAAGTATACAGTATGCAGATAAGAAAGGGACTTCAGGGTCTGTGAACGTCGTGCAACTCTACCTCAAGTCTCCGGATAATGATAGTACGAGCAAGCCTCCACTATACGACGCTGGAACCAACACCATAATCTGCACAAGAAGTGCAGAAGTGTAGTATGAGTACAACCGACTCCATGTACTCCGTAAGTGCCGAGCCTAACCTCGACGAAGTAGTGACAAGGCTATAACAAGGCACTCACTATAAACTTGTACTAGTATAAGTAAAAAATAATAATAGTAGAATAGGGAAATAAGATAAAAACTGGAATAGAAAATACGCATATAGGGCCCCAGAATATCATCTATGCTTCAATTCATAATACAACACGGATACAGAACCAACAGTCAAGAACAGTCAGAATATATCTTCTCAGTTGCGACGCGCAACCCGATCCTCACACACACACATATACACACACACACACACACACACACACATATATACACATAATTACCAAACAACATTTTAATGTTCGTAGTGGCGTGCAACCCGATCCCAAATACAATATCAATATATGTTGCGACGTGCAACCCGATCTCAAATACAATGACAATATATATTGCGACGTGCAACCCGTCTCATATACAATATCAATATCCGATGCGGCATGCAATCCGATCTCATATACAATATCAATATCCGTTGCGGCGTGCAACCGATCCCAGATATATAACATGTACATACAATATTACAACCAACTAAGGTGTATTTCACAATGAAATGCAGTAAGTAAATTAAACAAATAAAGACATAAGATGGATAAAAGTGACTATCTAACAACATACAAGGCAGGAAAAGGCATTCAATGAATGAAGACACGGATGCATAGAAACATATAGAAAACTAAGGCATGTGGCGAACGAAAGCATTAATTTAACAAGTAAAGGCAAGTAACAATTAATTCATATAACACATAGTATCATGGAATAAATGAAGGCATGAAGTAATTGAATACAAATAACGACTAAGTAGTTCAACCCGCATGCTTAACCCACGACAACGTATATACACTCGTCACCTTGCATGTACGCTGATCCCACACTTAAATATACGCTGATCCCACACATAAGCAGTTGGGAATCTAAGAGCAAGACCAAGGCGCAATCCTCAAGGTAATTATTGTGGGTTGATCAAGCCTTCGCAAACAAGTATTGCCAAGTCCAACTCTGCTCCATATAAAAACGGCAAACAGAGATGCTATCAACAGTGTGCTCTTTGGTGTCCCCTGCTAGCGAGCCCAGGCTCCAAACATCAATCTCACCTGGAAAGAGGGTTTATCCTCAGCTAAATAATGAGAGTCTTTACCCTCAAGTTTGTAATTCTCCAGCAGGAAACCTGCCAATATTTATTTTACCTTCGCAATACACGATTCTGATCTCTTTAATCAGATGATATGGAAACCATAAATCTGCAATCCACGCTCTTCTGTTAATAACTAGAATCAATTGTTACATGACGCAGCGAACTTAGGCAGTAGATGTCAAAGGGAGTAACATAAACTTTATAATTGAACATCTTGCGTATGATACAATTGATGAACCTCAAAATGATAATGGCACCAGCAAAGACATCACAACTAGAAAGGGTTATCTACAAGCCCAGCAAAACAAGTAAAATAATTCACACAGATTCTAAAAGCTAAGCAGCAGTAGGTGAGGAGCCTTTAGAATGCAAACCAAACCACAAGCACTTATCTTTCAATACCTCAGCTTCATTTGCATACTCTTTAAATTTGTACGCTTCCTGCTTGTAGATTGGAGCTACTTTTCCTTCACTGTAACATTGACCACACAAGCTAAAATGCGATTTCATCTCTTTAAAGCGAGGCCCAATGATAGGATAGCGGCAAGTTGCACAAACATGGCTACCATGACGGTTCCTATCCCCGATTTCAAGCTTCAACAAAGTAGACATAATGCCAAAACCCCAATCAGGATCATCGAACATCGCAAGGAATTCTGCTAAAGACACCAATGATGTGTCCATATCCCCATGAATTTCTAGCATTTCACTCGCTCCGTGTGAAGGAATATAAATAGCTCTTAAAAGCTTGATATACCTCTGAGCATCGATTTTCCTTATCTGGTTGCTGCCCTCATTCACGGGTCGCCACAAAAGAGCCTCATAGGCAAAGCGTTTCCGTTTGTCTGGTGGTCCTCCACAGATAGGGGCAATAACAGCAAAAAACATGCCCATATCCACCCTACCCGATTCTGACTCGTCTAAAACAGAGAGGATTTTCTTGTTAATGGCTTTAACAGCTCCTACGAAAGTTTCTGGCTTCAAGAAACTAAGCAATCTGCACAGAATCTCCTCCAGTGAAGCCTTACGTATAGACTTTTCAGGCACACCACCTCCAGAATAAGACACTGGTATATCATTTTCACTAATTTCCTTCTTTATCTGATCAACATCACAATGGTTAAATCGAGTAATCCTCTGAAAACCTCGAATATCTAGTGCAGTGGCCAAATCTGATCTTAATGTCGTCTTCTCACCCAGTCTCTTAAACTTTGTGGGTTCCACAGTGATTAAGGCTTCCTCGCCATTGCCACCCCCATTCCCCTTCAACCTCCTTTTCTGAAGCTGTTTCAAATGCACTGTTGCATCATGCAATTCCACCCTGTTTGTCATCTTTAGAGCTTCTTTCAAAGCTTTCTTAGCTTCCTCATTTTCACCAGCCCCCAATAAAGCCACAGCCTTATTGAGCTGTGCTCTCCAGTGGTTCGGCCAAACACTTAGCACCCTAGTGTACATCTCTGAAGCTCGCTGATATCTACCCATATCCATATAAAGTCCACCCAAGTTGTACAAAGCATCAACATGACCAGGTTTCAAATCAACTGCTCTTTGAAACTCCTTAATAGCATTATCATCATCATCCATTGCATGTAATGCAGATGCAAGATCACAATGTGCATCAGCATAATCACTCTTAATGTAAATGGCCTCTTCTAATGCCTTAACGGCCGCCTTATAGTCGCCCACACCAAAAAGAGCACTACCCAGAAGTTTCATAGCCCTGAAATGAGTTGGACACAAAATGGCAGCCTCTCTGTAATGCTCACAGGCACTAATAACCATACCTTCCCCTTCAAGAGCGATTCCCAAGTTCACATGAATCTGTGGAAGTAGATAAGCCCACTGATTACCACCAGTTTCCGCAGCTTCCAGCGCCAGCAAGAACTCCTCTTTGGCCTCGGGATATCTCCCGAGCACATATAAACTATTACCAGCCCTAAAATGAGGCCTTACATCAGCAGGCTGCAATTCACAAGCTCTCTTAAAGCTTACCAATGCCTCCTTAAAGAACTGGTGATCGTACAAAACTCTACCAATTGCCATATGACCATCAAAAGCTTCCTCCCTAGACCTCGACCCATCTGCCCTCGACCTCAAAACTCCCAATTCCTTCACAAACACTCCATAGTCATGCCCCATCTCCTCCCACAACACCCTTTTATCTGATAGCTCCGTGGAAGGTGGTCCCAATTCGCGTGACCAACCAGCATCCGAGTACACATCAGAATTATCATTTTTCAGCTTCCCTTCTTTTGATTGTTTGGATTTAAGCCTCTTGATCAGTATTTCAATGTCATCAACAAGTTTCCAAGTATCATCAAACACAATACCATGATTCGGAGAAGCTGCCCACGCAGCTGTCCGTTGTTTCTTATGCGGCTCCATCGCTCTCTCATCGACAATGGACGAGGTGGAGGCCTCTTCCGTAGCCATAGACACCCCATTGTCGTTATCCGGTTTGAGGAGATCAAGCCCGAGGGCTTCAAAATCCCGATCAACATCACCAGCTCCATCATCGTAGGTACGCAATAGGCCATCATATGTAAGGCCCTTCTCGCCGTCGATGAACTCTCCATAAGTTCGGAAAACCTCGTCCAGAATGGCACTGATCTGCTCATCGCTGAATTTGACCCTAGGGTTTACAGCAACCACCAGAGCTGCCATTTCCTCGCGGTTAAGACCCCCATCGCCATTTGCATCAAAATTCTGGAAGATTCTTTTCACCTTCACCGATCTGCTGCCCCTTGTCGCCATTTCCCCTCCTAAATTAGGGTTCTTTTAATCGAAATGCGGCAAAATTCTAGGGTTTCTGAATAATTTGTGATGTTGGATAACAAGAAATTGTTGAATTCAGGGTATAGAATCTGTAATTGGGTGGTTTTACAGTAGGAGCAAATCGAACTCTAGGGTTCCAGAAAAATAAAATTGAGCTACAAATACTAAGGTTCGTAAAGAATTGGGAAAACTTGGAAGTTTGAAACACCTCGATTCAATAAACAAAAACCTAGTTGAAAGGAGGGTGTAAAAGGGTTTTACAGTGGAAGCAAATAGAAATATAGGGACACATTCTATGGATTCTGAAGAATTGGATTAAGATTGAAGTGGAAGAAAATAAAACAAGAGTGTCAACTAAAAAAAAATATTCAAAGAATTGGAATAATGATTAATTTGCAAAACATGAATGGAAGATGAAGACTTGCTGAACTGAGGATAATAGAATAGTATGTAAATTGACCCTAAAATTGGGGAGTGGAGTATAACCCAATTTGGATAGGGGAAAATGTATGAGGTAGGAGGAATTATTAGATGTAGAGGGCTAACTTTTTAGCATCGAGGAGGAAAGGGAAGATTACTCTTTACATTTTCTCCCGAGTCGTTGTGACTTGTGATGATGGACTAGTGTTGGGCAAGGACTTCTCTTTTTGTTTTGTTTTTTGATCGATTAAAGGAGTCTGTCTCTTTAGCATCATCATTTTTTCTCCAAATTGCGTTGGTTGTCGTGTAATCTCAAGCAGACTTTAATGATTATCCAAACCCTTTAGCACATGAAAAGGACAATGCTGTTTCGTTCAAGTAAATGACAAAGCGAGTTCGTTTTTCAACTAACAAGTAATCAACTCCAGTTGGCTGTCGGTTCTTGATTTCTTTTCAAATCAAATCACATGATTTCTTTTTTGTCCCAATTAATCTTTCTCAGGTTTTATTTTCTTGACTTTTGGCAGATAGGAGGATACAAGGTTTGGCAAAATAACGGCTAGATAGAGGAATAAAGGATACAGGTATAGTAAGCTAGTTCCTCTTTACTGCTAATGCTTAATACTCCGTGTTACATTTTCATTTTCGTTCTCCTGCTAGATGTCACATCATCACATTGCCATTGTCTAATTTGGATTCCAACTGATTTTGACCAGAACGAGTCACAGAGCCCAACAAGTAAACAAAATTCATCATGCGTGCCATTTCTTTGTTCCTTTGGTCTGTCTAGTGTCTTCCTTCCATTTGAGGCTTTAATATTGATTGGAGGAATGACATTCAACTTCAAAATTAGGGGCAGAAGTGACGATAATGACGTTGTTTCCTGCTCACACCTAAAACTGATATCATATGTTTTGAATAAAACACACTGAATTTCCTTCTCCACGATGCACATCAGAACCAAGCAATCAGTATGGACAATATATCCAATTCAAAATTATTTGTACATCATCTTATTGCTTTCGTAACTATTGAGTACAATTTTCATAAAAAAAATTCATGTAATTTCAAGAACACAAATCATCGACCTATCTGTGCATGACTTCCTACAAGGAACGAACAATCAGAAGAACAGAATGCTACCCATTCATGACTTCCTCAACATTGATATTATGTTCTGAGAAACTGGTAAGTTACGTTACTCAGACCAGTAAACACATTTGGGAGAATATTAAATCAATGCTAATATGCTATTGTACACTATTTACCTACAACACACCCAATGAAAACACCATGGCAATGTATCTCCATTAGACATATATCAAGCCTTCAGGGAGTGGGTCATTGTCCTTCTGTGGTGAGATAAATCTACGGCAAGCATAGAGTACAGCGGAGTGGAATGCGGCTGTGTTGTCTATAAATACAAAGTGACCAGCCTGCAAGCAAGTGTAGTATTAAATAAAGGCGCTTCATTTAATACTACGATGTAGTTTGGGGAAACAAGAATAAAAGTTAAATTATTTTTTCTACAGAGAGAGAGAGAACCTGAGGGACTCTTAAGATTTCACATGGAACCTTCATATTCTTCCTAGCCTGTTCCGCTCCTTGATAATTCATCCAATCTTCGTATCCATATATGAAAGCTGTTGGCACCTTCCAATCTGGTGCTCTGCAAATATAAAAAATCATAGATTTAGCATCACAGAGACTTCTCAGGAGAAAACTGAAAATCAGTAGAGAATTGTAACAACAACAACATACCCAGTATAATCCCACAAGTGAGGTTTGGGGGAGGGTAGTTTATACGCATACCTTACCCCTACCTCGTGGAGGTAGAGAGGTTGTTTCCGAAGACCCTCGGCAATAGAGAATTGTGACAGACTAGTATTAATAAAATTTGAGAGGTTCTCCTCTTTTATTTGAAAAAAAAAAGGCAGAGAATTGTGATTAAAATTCTCGAGGAACAAGGTTTAGAGAATCAAATTACTGTACGATTCAACATCATGTTGTCTTAGCTTGTTCTATTTTGACTGGCTTACCCAAAAGGCTTCTGAAATCCCTACCCCCCCACCCCACCCCCTCAACCCCCCAAAAAAAGAATCAGTGCATCCTAGCTGAGACCAACTAACGCAAGAGTCGAATGAATTTGTGTTGCTTTGAACAGATTGCAAATTAGATGCTTCAGAGCAGAAAAGAAGTCCTTACTAACAAACACGTTGTAGAATCAGGATCGAAGTAATGTGAACCCCGTCCATAAGCAGAAAACTACTACATTCTTACATATTTCATTTGAACTTTTAAGACCTTGTTCTACAGTGTATTAACTACACTACGAATACCATGCCAAATCATCAGAAATGTACTTATTCCATCAATTTAATGAAAGAATTCTCCCTGGTACTTTAATTTACCACAGTCAATATACCAATAAACTGCATCTCAATACTAAACTAGCTATCGACTATACAAATCCTCTATAGCTATTTCGTCGATTCAACCTACTTTATTCCGATACAAAACAATTTCTCTTGAGGGATATTTGAGGTTCTCTAAGTCTCACATTTTTCACTAGGACATACATGTCTCTTAAATAGAATCAGAAGACCCCCGGCAAATACAGGACCAAATGAAACGTAACAACAACCAAACATTAATTTTACTAGTTGGTATAGCCTGTATATATGCTTTTCTTCCATTCTGTTACGTTACTAAGCTAAGACTGCATTGATTCAGACAGAGATATAGGTCTTTTGAAACAACTTCTCTCAATGAGATTTTAGGACTACCTTGTCTTTTATCAGTTTCAAACGAATTATTACACCTACAATCCCTGTTCATATAAAGGTCTACACAGGATATGGCGATCAACTAACACAGTTGAAGATTAACATATCAAATATCACCAAAGTGTCTTTTAGATTATAATGGTTGTATGCTATCAGCCATCACAACCAGTTCAAGAATTGCCTTTACTTCCTTTACTTTAAGGGGTCGTTTGGTAGGATGTATAAGAATAGTGGGGAATACGGTGTATTAGTAATGCAGGGTGTGAGAAAGCACGGGAGAAAATATATTATTGATATTAGATGATCAATACAATACAAGAGGTCCTTATTTATAGCTATACTATACAAGGACATACTACTACTCTACCAATGTGGGA